GGCCACCCAGCCCCAGGCCCCGAGTCTGCCTACGTGGACGCCGTGGTCCCAGCCGTGGTCCCGGGCCCTGAGTCTGCCTACGTGCTGAGAAGGGTCCTGAATCGCACCCCCATGTAGACTCGCACAGACACCCCAGCCCCAGACAATCCCCCGATGACAGAGCCGTCCTCCTGCCTATACCCCCACCCCAGGTCTTCTCCAGAGCCCCCATCATTCCCATCCTGGCCCCAGTCTGGTGCCCACTCCCTCCTGGACACTGCTGTGAGGGCCTGTGTCTCCTGGCCTCTCTGGCCACCGTCGCAAGCCTGGGTGTCCTGCCTCAGTAACCGGAATGACAGAGCCTGGGGCCGCACGGTCTAGGCTTGAAACCCTGGGGCCGCCACCCACTGGCTCTGTCATGTAAGGTCTCTGCCCACCGAGTGGGAGCAGCGCGGGCGGTCGTGCGTGGTGCTCACGGGGCTGTGAAAACCGTCAAGGAGCTACTGGCTCAGAAAATGGAATTAAAGTACAAGTTCACTTTGGTGCAAAAAAGGCGAACGCAGGTGTGGTTCCCAGGCGCGTCTCAGGGGACGTGTTGAAGACGTCACGCCCCTGTGTACAAGAGCGGCGGGCGCCGCGACCCCCGCAGAGGGCCTCCCCGACCTGACCACTCCTTCTCACTGCCCGCTTCTCTTCCAGAGCTGGGCCTGCAGAGGAGGGGATGCTGCCTGGCGCTGGGCTACATGGCCAAGGACAAGCTCCGGAGGACAAGTGAAGGTCAGTGAGACCTGCACCGCCTGGGGGCACGAGAGTGGGGGAGGGGCACCCCGGACTACAGCACCGGAGAGCCCAGGAGACCTGGCGGCCCCGAGGGCGGTAGGAGGTGGCCGTGCTCTTCCAAGCCGCGTGTCAGGAAGGGGGCAGCCTCACTCCTGCTGCTCCCTCAACCTACCTGCCCCCTGCCCACCTGGCTGACAGCCTGCCTGGCCCCTCCTCTGCCAGCCTGCTCTGCCCTCCCGTCCGTGGTTTTGAGCATTTGCTGAGTAGAGGGCACTACGGGCCCTCGGGGGAGCACCTAGGGAGAAGGAGCGGCCTAACCTCAGAGCAGCACGCTCAGAGCCTCAGTCCCCATTCTCCGCCACCTCTCCCTCCCTCAGGGCCACTCTGCCTTCCTCCTGAACGGGGTCCTCCTCGCAGGCCTGCCTGGGCGCAGAGGCCTGGGAGGGGCTGGCGCTGACATGGGCCCGGGCTGGCTGTCGCGTGTGCCTGCCGCAGGGGAAAGCCAGCGCCACGGCCCCAGCCATCTGTCTGCGAGCCACTAACAGTCCTCCCCTGAGATGCCACAGACTGACCGTCAGGGTTCAAAGTGGCCAGCAAAGTCTTGGGCTGCCATTTGTCCACTACGTCCGATGCAGGGCAGTGCCCATAGAGGGGCTGCAGCAGGGTTCGGGCATTAGCCAAAAGGCCGGCCCCACAGTGGCAGGCCTGTGGCCTCTGCCCGGCCCACAGCTCCTGGGCCTTGGCTCACAGCAAGGTGCCTCCCCCAGTGCTGTCCGCACAGCTCAGCCCTCAGGAGACGGCTGCGAGCGCCCTGTCAGCCCCGCGGAGCCATCCTTCAGGTTCACCCACCCCTAATCCACGAGAGTGAGCCGCGTCCACTGCTCCGGGCCCAGCCCCTCGCAGGGCTGCAGGGAGGCAGAGGCATCCCACAGGTGGGTGTAAAGGGGAGCCCCTGGCAGGCCGGACACTTTGTCACCACACCCCTGTGCGTGAGACTGAGTGGTGCCGGGAAGGTCACATGGAACGCCCCAGGGTGTGACGATTCCAAAATCTGCCTTGGGTCTCCACGCCCATCCCATAATTTAGGTACTCTGTCACCACAGGAACCAGCCAGGGGGCTGCAGTCACTGTCCCCTGTGCCAGAGTGTGCTCGGCCGGCCGCTGTGCACGGGGCAGGGCGAGAGGGCAGGGCAGCCTGGGTGAGCCGCACTCCCACGGTGCAGAAGGAGGCGGGGGG